GCTGCTTGAATAATTTCGAAAAAAAAATTTTCATATTATTTAGGTTATTCCGAAATGGCTCAGTTCAACAGAAGATATATTATTCATATGATCTGTTGATTTTTGAAATATTCTTTTGATTTGTTGGTTTCATCCTATCTCTCTCTCTCTCTCTCTCTCTCTATTGCTTAGTTACTTGATGACTATGATGATCTTTTTCTTCCTCTTCTAGCAACGATGTAAGAATTACCTTCTGACTCCTGTTTCTCGAGAAAAAACTTCTCTTCATCTCTCTCTCTTTTTTCTAGCATCTTTGGAAATTTTGAATATTCAATTAGAAACACTCCTAAATAACAGAGCACAAAGTGAAAACAAAGAGTCGAAAACTCTGGAGAATATCTCTGTTATCTTTGCTTCCGCATAGATATTCATGCATTGATACGTATTCATTTATATTTTCAATTAAATAACTTTAGTTTTTCATTGTTTTTTATTTTTTTCATCCTTCAAAGCAATTCCAAATCATACTTCTACCGTCAAAGTTTAGATGAACTCAAACATTTTATTTAATCAGCATCTGCATAGATAAAGAGAGAACTGAGGAGAACATTAAGAGAGAGAAAGAGAGAGAGAGGGATGCAAGGAAGGGGGGGGGGGAGGAATGGTTGCATTTCCAATATTCTCATGACACAGCTGTTCATGTTTCATATCGAAGTATAATAATATTTTCTTCGAATTTTCCATTTATTATTATTATTTATATTTTTGATCATGAAAAACGCTTTTATTGTGGAAAAAACATGAAGTCAAAACGATTTAAAAAATTGCAAAGTGTTGGTGCATGGTTGCTTAGGTATGCGCTATACCTTGTGTATCTATGCTATGGGAACGAGTGAGCGTTGTTCTGAACTTGATAATCCCATTTCTATTAGAATAACAAATGAACCTAAAAAAGAAATTTGTCTTTGGAAGCCATTAGAGAGAAGAAAAATAAAATAAAATGTTTGACATTCAAGCAGTGAAGAAAGAGAAACAGAGAGAAAGAGCAAGATAGCCTAAACAAGGAGATGAGTGAGTAGTAACAAGTGGGAATATCCTAATTTTCTTTTTGCATCTCTCAAGAAATGTGAAATTATCTTGCAATCTCATGCAAGTTGATGTTTTTACTTTTGCAATTACATTGAACGATGTCGAACCTTTGTGTCCATAAATGTCATTCAGCTGACTTGCCACTTACGTCACAGCTGTTAGCTGGACCTGATAATTACCGGAAGCTTGATGAAGCTCCTAAATAGGAATTGTTGAATAATTCGATTGTAAGACCTTTTGATCTCAGAGTATAGCGAGTCCTCCTCGATTTGCAAATTTCTGTGAAAGAGAGAAACCATTGAGTTCCTAGGATTTCCTTCTATCCACCTCCGCTTGATCTTTCACGGCTTTTCTTTATAGCAGCAATTCTTATCTCAAATGGCATATCTTGTATGACCTTTATTTTACGAAGAATATCATGTTTACTATAATACCGAAAACAGGATGTTCAGCACCTAAGTACACGAGTAAGATTGTCTAGTTAAAGATGTATGCAACTTTCTAGGTTTTTATCTCGTTCAGATGCTTTTTGGCCTCCGACAAAGCAGTACTTTCGGAGTATCATACTGACCTTTCCGTTCTGCTCTTACTCACATAATTCTATTATTTGTCTTGTTCGCTCCTTAAGTTTAGCGATTCGCTCATCAATCCCTAGAGGCGTTGATGGAATGAGCCCATGGGTACGCAAAAAAATCAAAAGCAGGATGTTCAGTACGAACTCGTTCCCATATTCTCTGACTGTTAATTATTTTCAAAAAAAATAATGTCTACCAGGAAGCTGATAGTGAAGAAGATCATAGTAGATGTTAGTATTTGAATATTCATATTCTCTCTTTTACAAATTTGAACAAGTTATTTGCTGCTTGAAGTGAACGTCATTGAAATGATTTGTGATGCCAAGGTGAGATCGTTCATGGTAATTTGCTTAACGGTCACGTCATCTGAATTTTCGTTCGCTCGTTAGTTTTATTGGAACTTCATCGTCGTCATCACCATCATCTCTTTCTCTCTTCCATTCTCTCTTCACTTCCTCTTTCATTTCTTTACCTCGAAACATTGCTCGTGTTTCGTGATGATCTTCCTCATTCTGCTAGCATTGGCTCTTCTCTTCACCCTACCCCACCCACTTCTCTCTCAGTTCATTGAAAACCCATTTCTGACTGACTTGCTCAGTTATAATGCACAATTCATGAACTCTCATGATGAATTAAAAGTTTTTCTTGTATGAAAATTTTTTTGAGACCTTCGTTTTTCTTTTCTTCAATTGTCTCTCATGCATCATATGGCTAGATTAAAAAATATGAATTAATCGCCTTTTTCATTTTTAATACAATCTGAGCTCATAAATGTCTTTGAACGAAATAATTCCATCTATTGTATGTCATTTTTCCAACAACCATTTTTTCTTTTTTTTAAGAGACAAGAGACAGATAGAGAGAGAGAGAGAGAGAGAGAGAGAGAGAGAGAGAGAGAGAGAGAGAAAGAAATGTAAGGGATGAAGGACTCAAAGGGATGAGGTTGCAATTTTGCTTTATCTACCTTCAATTGTCAAACAAGATTTCATCCAAATTATGGGATTATTCCGTGAAAACAAAGAAAAATCATTTGTTCCTTTCAATTGTAAATCATCAAAAATCAACAAGCTGCGTTATCTCTTGTTATTTCTTCATATTTTTAAACTAAATTCGGACATTTTTTAATGAAAATTCATCTTGGAGAATATCTTTGAACAACGTCTTTAAGAGCTCTCAAGGCTGGCTAAGTGACCTTTTTCAACTCACTTAACCTATTCAAATGACGTGCTTCTTCTTGAAATCTTTACTAACTTTTTCAATTTTTTATTCATCTTAACTGAAATGCTGCTGTCCGCTCGCTTGCTCTCAAGACCAATCCGTCTCCGACTTAAAGCATCAATTGCCTCCAGGAGCACAACCGCTCCATACATCGTATCAAGACAAAATGATTTCAATATCCTTAGTATCTGATGAAGAATTGGCTGTTGAACAGAACTAATAAGATCAAGTAGTTTTTGAGTCAGTCATTCCATAGAAGGAAGTTCTCATAAATAGACTGTTCCATTATAAAGTGCCAAATGTGAGAAAAATAAGCAACATGTTGAACGATGAGAGAAAGCAATCCATTTCTAGTTTCCGCTTTTCATTCTATTGGTTAAGAAATTGGAAAATTCATCATTTGACGTATGTATATTGAGTTTACGTATTTCCTTAAACAAATTATCCGAATATCAGATGATCAACGTCATTCGTTTTGTTATTATCAGACGTCAGATACACACTGCGCATATATTAGAAACCTACGTACGTACGGACAGTTATAAGTCTAAATAAAGAACCTCAAAAGCCTAACAGACGTTAAAGAATATTTAATATTTTCGTTCTGAATGTCATTTTCAGATGTCGTTAACCGTTATAATTCGCTGTGTTCGACGCTTCTCGTCTCCATAGCTGGAATCCAAGCGCATGCAAATTCTAGCTTTCAAATGATCAAAAAATATATAAAAGAGATGGAAAACGTAATAAAAACTGAGTTAGAAGAAAAAAAGATGGATACAAGCTTTGCTTCTCTTTTAATTCTCTCTCTATCTTCCTCTCTCTCCCTTTTTTTCTCTCACTTTAGACGAGTGAACCAAAATAGGAACGTCATAGCTGAGTCAATCTTTGATTCAAGTCTTTAGCACATTAGCATGGTCGTACTCCCTCCATTTCTATCTCTCTTTCTTCTGTTTTATCTTGCTCCTCTAGTATTCACAAACTATCTACGATGTTCCATGTATATTTTTTGTGCGTAAAAACTGCCTCCGAATTCCATGTTTTCTTCATCTATTTTTAGAGTCAAAAATATTTCGTATTCTGGTGACGTGTCATGGTATGTTAAACTTCATCCCCCATGAGGGGGTTACTTCTTCCAAAAGCAAAGACAATTTTCAAAATTTGCTCATTTATGATCACATATAACTTCTGTTTTCTTTATCTTCTCTATGTTCTTCTGTTCTCTAACAGAACTTTCACCGTTTCTTGTGAAAGTCTCAAGATAATCGAAAGCTGAGAGATCAAAAGCTTTACCTCTTTGGATAATCCGTATGCGACCAATTAAATTAAATTGTTCAAATGTATCGTCATATCGGATATTTTATGATTATATTCTGGAAATCAATTAAGTTATTCCATTTATTTGTTCGGGATTACATTTATTACCAAGAAATGCCATCAAATAAGAAAAAATTTGCGGAACACCGCCCTCCTCCTTCTCATTTTCATGTGCTAGTCCTTCTGTCGCCACCCTTCTCCTCCCTTATATTGAACTTCTACATATATCATTTTATAATTCTATTTTGAACATCTTAGTGTTTTCTTTTCCATCTGTCATATTATTTATATGTTAACCGACTGATCACAGACCATGCTGTTCATTGCTTTATTTTTTCTTCCACCCCAATAGTTTTCATAAAGATTGACGTCGAAGCGATATTGTCTTACCGAGAGTTCCATGGCTTCCCCCATCCCCATATAAACCATTATGATGTTTAACTTTTCATTGAATCCGAAACCTCTCTCTATTAACAAAGCAACTGCTTCTACCAATATAACCTTTTTCTTTATATGCTCTTTTAGACTTTCAACCCGAGCCTTTCTATTTTCAATACTTACGTGTAACTCGAACTGTGAAATCCAATCGGAAAAACTATTTGATGTTGAAATTTCTGTTAATCTTTGCGTTTTCACGTCATTTGATGTCTTTGTTCCTAAAAGAGGAAATTTTTCTTTATTTTTTTCTCTGTCTCTCCCTGAAACACTTCTTCTAATGAAATTTCCGTTGCAACTCGCTTGCTAGCAGACAGAGCAGGAATAAAATTTTTTTTTTACAGAACCTTTTGGAAGAAAGAAGAGTTTGAAAAAAAATAGAGTCAAACGATGACTGTTCTAACTGATGTGCCAATTGTCAAATGCGTCGTTATGGGAGACAATGATTCTGAAAAGCTTCAGATGATTCAACGATATTCTGATATCAATGGCCTCACTTTCAATACGGAGGTAAAAGACAAAATTCTCTCGTTCATATAATATTCAAATGATTTTTCAGATGGGAGACATGGTGACTGCTTTCAATGGTCAAAAGTGTACATTTTTGGATTTCAACTCTTCCCGAGATGAAAATGAGAGTCCTTCAAATGAAGTTCACGTGTATCTTCTTTGTGTCTCCGTTGCTCGCCAAAGTCTTGTTCAAGAATCCATTAGATCTGTGAGTTCATTCATTTGGATAAAAACCATAACAGGCCATCAAAAAACTAAAATAAAACAGAGAAAGAAGACAATTATGGTTTCCAATCATCTTTCATCTAAAAACAAAACATGTTTGAACATCAAAGTTTTGCTTTTTCCTCTCTTCTTCCCATTTTTTTGAACTTTTCTTCTTTTGCTCCTTTTTTCTCCAAAAAAAAGAATGGAGAAGTTGCAGAACAACGACATATGTATGTAGAGAGATGAGTTGAAAAATGATTTTTGAATGTCCGATAGAAGAAGGAAAGATTAGGTGGATGTCAAGAGCAATTCAGATGATGCTAGAGCAATCATTCATCTCAAGCATCTATAATCCATCACCTATCCATCTAACACCATGGACTTTCCATCCTTACTTGATATTTCCAATTGAAATAAACTAACATTAAGGCTTTCACAAAATTTGTTTTCCTAAAGATGGACTTTCTGTTTGAAAACAGAAAACAATTTATGAATGAGACATTCTTTCTCTCCTTCTCTCTCTTCAACTGGGAAAGTTTCAGATTGAAGAGAATACGAGTTCGGTTCAATCTCTGAGAACCTCCTTGGGTTAACGTCCAATTAAGATGTTTTCAAAACGTCTTCACATAATTTCATCAAAGCAATACCGAAATTGTTTTTGATCTCAGTAGTCTTAAGTTTTTCCAATTGTTTGACTAAAAACGGTCTTAAGTAACATATGCGAAAAAGGAAAATGACGTCATTCTTTTTTTTCTTTGTCCTAGCTTAAATGATAGGCAGCACATAGAGGGATATGTGTGGTGTTTGGAAGCATTCCGTTTAGCAAATTCCAAATGATTTTTCTAGTGAAATTAAGGCTTTCGAAACGATGATGATCAGAAAGTTTGAAATCCGTGTTCATGCGATGCGTTTGATGTAATCAAATTGAAAAACAGATTATGAAAATGCAGTAAACATTAAGAGAGAAAGAGGAAGAAAGAAAAAGCTGTTCTTTTCTTTTTTTTCGTATTCTTTAATTAGATATATTCATTATCCAATTTATTTTTTTGTTACATTTGCAATAAAAAGTGGTCAAAATAGGAGAATCACTAAAGTTCTTTGCAGTTGATGATGGCCATCAAAGACCATGTGGGAACAGTGCCGTTCGTCGTAATTGGAACTCAGATTGAGAAAAGAACTAAATTTTTGAAGGAAGACTCGGAAGAAGAGTAATTCACTTAACTTTAACAAACATTTTACGTTTTTCTATCTTTTTGCAGTGCAGATCAGCCGATGTCTTTGAGTCAAGCAGAAATTTTCGCCAAGCAAATAGGGGCAATTCGATATCTTGAATGCTCAGCAGCTACAGCCGTATGTTTCGGATGTGAAAGAACAAAACTGAGAAAATATATATTTCAGGAAGGTTTGGATGAAGTATTTGAAGATTCATTTGCTGTTGGTCATCAATTTGCATTGGAACAAGTACGATGTGAAAGACGTAAACGATCTGTGCTCGAAGAAGCGCGTAATAGTCGAAAGCAAAGCTGCATCACCCAATAAGACAATTTATGTTTTTTCCTGTTCCAAAGGAACACTAACACGAATTCCAAGAATTCAACTTCTTTAATTTTTAATAAATAATTATTTTCTTTCTCTGTTTTCATTCTATAAAAAAATAAATTTTTACACTAAACCAGAACAGAGGGAAAAACCTCTTATCACTTGTTTATCAGTTGAAGATTCCATCATTTGATTATCCTTGACAGATGGGACTTCTAGGACGATCGTCCGCTTCCAATATTTTCTTAAGTCGGCCGATTGCTTGATCAACACATTTTATAACTCATACAGTTTCGTCTTCGATCGTTTCTCTCTCACCTCCTCCTCAGATATGTTTATCTTTAATCCTTCGAGTGAGTCATTTTAGATTAAAAATACCCTTTACGTGTCTATTAGTTGAGAAAAAAAATTTGAATCATCTGTTTCATAACGTTTCCCCAGCTTGGTTATAGAAAACGATAGAGATAAACAAGGGTCACAATGAGATGATATCGATGCCACCTCAACCTCACCTCGTTATTTGCTCAGCCTGTACCTTCTCTTTTTCTCTCTTGCAACGACTTATATTTCAGTTCCTATCATTCTTCCTTCCTATTTCTTTTTTGTGTCTCTCTCACTCACTCTCTCTCTCTCTCTCTCTCTCTCTCTCCCTCTCTATCTCTCCCTCTCTCTTTCATTCTCCATATTTCTACCCTGTTTCGCTTTTTATCTACATAACTATTTATATTTCAGTCTTCATCTAAATTTTCTAGTCTTCATCATGCTCTACCTGAAACGTTCGTTATGGCGGTGACTTTACTTTACCCAACATCTATTGATTTCGAAAAATTCAATCAATCCTACGAGTATGTCTAGTAACTCACAAGCTGTAATGATTTTTGTTTATTTCTTTGCTTCAAAAGCAGTTCTTCTTCTTTCACTTGAGAATATCACAACCTTTTTCTCTCTCCCTCTCTTGTGCTATAACTCTTTCTTAATAATTCGGAAAAGTAAAAGAACACCTGAGATTCTTTTCCTAAGACTATTTTTCTTTTTCGTCCGTCGAAAGTTCTTCATAATGATAAAATTTGTTAGATGACATCATTATTTCATTGTGAGTCAGATTAACACAAACGATGATCAAGACGATCAGATGAACTTTTGAGTAAGCTTTTCCCTCATCACTCTCTTTCCTCTCTCGCTTTCCAGATATCTTTTCCGGCAATTGTGTTGTCAACGTATTTCACTGAGCAAATAGGCTTCAAACTTTAGTATCGTGCCGATAGAATGTCTGTCATGATATTATGGAAAATCTATAGAAATTCATTCTTATATGTTTCATCAATGAAAGCGCTTCTGAATCGAATAAAATCTCCCATTTTTCAATTATAAATTCATAATTTTCATGAAACTCTATTGCTCATTCTAACATTTGCAATCGTTCAAAGCTCATTTATAAGTCTGCTGCTTACCATAATCAGTAAAATTCTTAACTATATCATATAGTTTAATATGCAATATTCCATTCTAATTATCTATATTATGACCATTGATTAATAAAAAGTACACAAAAGGAGTCAGTTGCTAGTTTCATATCATTTCACAAAAAATTGATCGGATCGATCATGCATTCCTCTTTCGAATGCTTCTCTCTCTCTTTCTCTCTCTCTGAAGCTGTTCTCTTACATTTTTATCCTCTTTTTCTTTGTACCTTCGTTCTCTATTCACAATGCCTTTCTATTTGAGGTTTCATCATTTTGAAATTACATTTTTAAAATTTTTATGAATCTTTAAAGCTCTTAGACAATCATTTCTCTCATCTCTTCTTCTCTAAACATAGTTTCCCAAATTTTTTCTTCACAAAAAGATGATTTTCCATATTATAATCATGTTTTTACATCATGTCAGTCAGATTGTATGGAATTCCGAACAGTTGACTGTTGTCTGCTCACATGTTGATTTCATTCTTCTCATTTTCTTTTTTTTCTTCTCATAACGTTTTTAGAGTTCATACCAACTTGCAAATGTTCATCCATACCTTTTCAGATTTCAAGATGAGTTTCGACGATATGAAAACGCTACCTCATGTCATTAAGCCATTCACACTCGTATGTTCACCTATTGCATGGTCTTTCATGTAGAATTTGTGTTTTCAGTTTCTGGTGATCTTACAAATGATCTTCTTGTTCTCACCAAGTTATAAAGATTTTGGATGGTTCCCAATGACAACTACAATCCTTATGTTAATTGTTTCCACGATTGTTTTTGTTTTTTTCGCATTGGATGTCGCTATTGTCACTAGATCGCCATATTGGCCCTTAGCTGTAAGCTTACAACAATCGTTAAACCACTGTAACTCATATTTTTGCAGGAACTCATTTATGCTGGTGTATTCGCTGTTTCATCCGCCATCAATACTTTCTATTTCTTCTTCAACATTTTCACTCCATTCAACTTCTGGTTCGTATTGGGAACTGTGAGTAGTTGAAAATCAAAAAAATATTTGAAATTCACTTTTCATTCGTAGGGTTCATCCGTCTTAATCTGTTTGACATCAGCCTTTGATGCTTATTTATGGCATAGAGAAC